CTGTGATGTGGTGGGGTTATGTCCAGGCTACTGTGTTGTGGTGGGGTTATGTCCAGGCTACTGTGATGTGGTGGGGTTATATCCAGGCTACTGTGTTGTGGTGGGGTTATGTCCAGGCTACTGTGATGTGGTGGGGTTATGTCCAGGCTACTGTGTTGTGGTGGGGTTATGTCCAGGCTACTGTGATGTGGTGGGGTTATGTCCAGGCTACTGTGTTGTGGTGGGGTTATGTCCAGGATACTGTGATGTGGTGGGGTTATATCCAGGCTACTGTGTTGTGGTGGGGTTATGTCCAGGCTACTGTGATGTGGTGGGGTTATGTCCAGGCTACTGTGTTGTGGTGGGGTTATGTCCAGGCTACTGTGATGTGGTGGGGTTATGTCCAGGTTACTGTGTTGTGGTGGGGTTATGTCCAGGCTACTGTGTTGTGGTGGGGTTATGTCCAGGTTACTGTGTTGTGGTGGGGTTATGTCCAGGTTACTGTGTTGTGGTGGGGTTATGTCCAGGCTACTGTGATGTGGTGGGGTTATGTCCAGGCTACTGTGTTGTGGTGGGGTTATGTCCAGGCTACTGTGATGTGGTGGGGTTATATCCAGGCTACTGTGTTGTGGTGGGGTTATGTCCAGGCTACTGTGATGTGGTGGGGTTATGTCCAGGCTACTGTGTTGTGGTGGGGTTATGTCCAGGCTACTGTGATGTGGTGGGGTTATGTCCAGGCTACTGTGTTGTGGTGGGGTTATGTCCAGGCTACTGTGATGTGGTGGGGTTATATCCAGGCTACTGTGTTGTGGTGGGGTTATGTCCAGGCTACTGTGATGTGGTGGGGTTATGTCCAGGCTACTGTGTTGTGGTGGGGTTATGTCCAGGCTACTGTGATGTGGTGGGGTTATGTCCAGGCTACTGTGTTGTGGTGGGGTTATGTCCAGGCTACTGTGTTGTGGTGGGGTTATGTCCAGGCTACTGTGATGTGGTGGAGTTATGTCCAGGCTACTGTGATGTGGTGGGGTTATGTCCAAGCTACTGTGGTGTGGTGGGGTTATGTCCAGGCTACTGTGATGAGGTGGGGCTATGTCCAGGCTACTGTGTTGTGGTGGGGTTATGTCCAGGCTACTGTGATGTGGTGGTGTTATGTCCAGGCTACTGTGTTGTGGTGGTGTTATGTCCAGGCTACAGAACTGTGTTGTGGTGGGGTTATGTCCAGGCTACTGTGTTGTGGTGGGGTTATGTCCAGGCTACTGTGATGCGGTGGGGTTATGTCCAGGCTACAGTACTGTGTTGTGGTGGGGTTATGTCCAGGCTACTGTGTTGTGGTGGGGTTATGTCCAGGCTACAGTACTGTGATGTGGTGGGGTTATGTCCAGGCTACTGTGTTGTGGTGGGGTCACGTGCAGGCTACAGTGTTGTGGTGGAGTCACGTGCAGGCTACAGTGTTGTGGTGGGGTCACGTGCAGGCTACAGTGTTGTGGTGGGGTCACGTCCAGGCTACAGTGTTGTGGTGGGGTCACGTGCAGGCTACAGTGTTGTGGTGGGGTCACGTGCAGGCTACAGTGTTGTGGTGGGGTCACGTGCAGGCTACAGTGTTGTGGTGGGGTCACGTGCAGGCTACACTGTTGTGGTGGGGTCACGTGCAGGCTACAGTGTTGTGGTGGGGTCACGTGCAGGCTACAGTGTTGTGGTGGGGTCACGTGCAGGCTACAGTGTTGTGGTGGGGTCACGTGCAGGCTACAGTGTTGTGGTGGGGTCACGTGCAGGCTACAGCACGGAGACAACACTAAGCCGCTGCCTCACAAGAACAAGACATCTCGGTGCTGACGCATCAAGGAAATATTCTCAGCATATAACTTGTCTTAAGCCGTCCATCTGTGTTGTGTTTACTTGGCTCTAGCCACTGGTCACGACTCTTACATCTTCCTCCCACTCACACTGATATCTTGCCACCATGGACCGGGGTTCGATTCCCGGGGCCAGCATAAACAAATGGATAGAGTTTCTTTCACCCTATGCCCCTGTTAGCTAGCAGTAAATAGGTACCTGGGAGTTAGACAGCTGTTATGGGCTGCTTCCTGGGGTGTGTGTGTGGGGGGAGGGGGGAATTTAGTTAGACAGTAACAGTTGATTGACAGTTGAGAGGCGGGCCAGAAGAGCAGGGCTCAACCCCCGCAAGCACAACTAGGTCAATACTATTACTATTATTACCTAACCTCACCGCCCTACATTGTTGACCATTCAACAGCATCTGCCAATATTTCCTCCATCTTCAGAGCCTATCTAAATCGTCTTTGCAGTGTCTTATTCTGAATGTGTTTTCCCGCCCCACTCTTGCATCGTCTGCAAGAGTATGTATATGTGTATATATATTATATATATATATTTTTTTTTTATATATATAGGGAAGGGAGTACCACCTCTGGCTGGAAGAAGGGGGACCCATAGCCTCGGAGGAAACCACACATAACGCATTGGAGGGAATGTGGGTCCCCTCCAATACAATATATATATATATATATATATATATATATATATATATATATATATATATATATATATATATATAGTATATTTTGGTAGCAGTCTTTCCTGTAGACATATATTATTAAATATGACCGAAAAAGTAAGATTAATAATTCTAACACGAATTTTCTCAATCTTTCGTACATTTCGTTTCACTGTTGGAGGTAAATCAAAAATCAATTCTCCAAAATTCATTTTTTTCTAGTCTGACGCGACACGAGCGCGTTTCGTAAAACTTATTACATTTTCAAAGACTTTAGTTCACAAATACACAACTGAATAGAACTTACGCATCTCCGATTTTATATCTACATTTGAGTGAGGTGGAAGGGGTGATGTGGCATTAACACAAGACAGAACAAGATGTGGTATTAATAGGGTATTAATTTCATCAACACAAGACAGAACACGAAACAATGGATATTGAATATAAGTGTTTGTAGAAAGCCTATTGGTCCATATTTCTTGATGCTTCTATATTGGAGCGGAGTCTTGAGGTGGGTAGAATATAGTTGTGCAATAATTGGCTGTTGATTGCTGGTGTTGACTTCTTCATGTGTAGTGCCTCGCAAACGTCAAGCCGCCTGCTATCGTTGTATCTATCGATGATTTCTGTGTTGTTTACTAGGATTTCTCTGGCGATGGTTTGGTTGTGGGAAGAGATTATATGTTCCTTAATGGAGCCCTGTTGCTTATGCATCGTTAAACGCCTAGAAAGAGATGTTGTTGTCTTGCCTATATACTGGGTTTTTTGGAGCTTACAGCCAAGCCATGCAACCTCTGAAGAGACAACTAACACAACACCTATACCCCCTATTAGACTATTTTACAGGAACTTCTTTTCCACAGCTCATAAAACGGAGGAAAGGGTCCTGAAAGATATTGTTAATAGAAACGTTATCCCTACAGACAAAAATCAGAGGATACAACTGACGATTTACTATAAAACCAGAAAAACGGCCAGCCTACTCATGAGAAACTCTCCAGACACAAAACAGAACGCTTTAAAAGAGACTAACGTCGTCTATGCCTTCAAATGCCCTCATGGGGACTGTAAGCTCCAAAAAACCTAGTATATAGGCAAGACAACAACATCTCTTTCTAGGCGTTTAACGATGCATAAGCAACAGGGCTCCATTAAGGAACATATAATCTCTTCCCACAACCAAACCATCGCCAGAGAAATCCTAGTAAACAACACAGAAATCATCGATAGATACAGCGATAGCAGGCGGCTTGACGTTTGCGAGGCACTACACATCAAGAAGTCAACACCAGCAATCAACAGCCAATTATTGCACAACTATATTCTACCCACCTCAAGACTCCGCTCCAATATAGAAGCATCAAGAAATATGGACCAATAGGCTTTCTACAAACACTTCTATTCAATATCCATTGTTTCGTGTTCTGTCTTGTGTTGATGAAATTAATACCCTATTAATACTCTTGTTCTGTCTTGTGTTGATGAAATTAATACCCTATTAATACCACATCTTGTTCTGTCTTGTGTTAATGCCACATCCCCCCTTCCACCTCACTCAAATGTAGATATAAAATCGGAGATGCGTAAGTTCTATTCAGTTGTGTATTTGTGAACTAAAGTCTTTGAAAATGTAATAAGTTTTACGAAACGCGCTCGTGTCGCGTCAGACTAGAAATAAAAATGAATTTTGGAGAATTGATTTTTTATTTACCTCCAACAGTGAAACGAAATGTACGAAAGATTGAGAAAATTCGTGTTAGAATTATTAATCTTACTTTTTCGGTCATATTTAATATATATATATATATATATATATATATATATATATATATATATATATATATATATATATATATATATATATATATTTTATATATATATAAGGTCCCAGGACACCCCCTTCAAACTGTCCTTCACTGTGGCTTCACTCCATTTATACCGACTCTGCTGTCTTTGTAATAACCAATCTCTAAGCCAATTTACGATACCCTACACCCCCCCCCCCCCCAATATTATAGGCCTAACTTTTTACCGAGCCTCGCCTGAGGCACAGTATCAACAGCTTGGCTAAAGTCAAGGTACAGAATAATACATAACTATCTCAATATCGGATATTTCTCTTGTAAACAATGTTGAATTTCATTTCCAAAATATTAATATATACAATAATTATTGTGTAGTATAATAGACAGATAATTGTTAATTATTATAGACAATTATATAATTGTGTGAGCAATTATATGTGTGAGCGTCTGTTTTCAGTCCACTTTGCGTTGTGGTCTCCAAGACGTCTTATAGGTTATATAGTTATACAATCATATATAAAGCTACTTACCGGACAGCATCTTCCTTCCGCACCCTTGAGAACGTCTTACCTGACGAAACAAAGAATTCCTAGTATTAGCATCCTTGCAACCGGCAATAATTCTGGCAAAGGATGAACACAATGTTCAACGTCTTACTAAAAGCAGCAAATAACGATTCTGTTTTTTCCCCTCCACAGATCCGGCCGTAGTGGAGCCATACGCCGCGGTGTGGACAAACAGGGTCAACCCATCCACTCCCAGGCATCAAGGAGCAGACAATGGAACATCCTCGGCTACCCTGGAACACCCTTGTGCCATCTGGAGCCTCCTGGAGCACCCAGGCGCAGTCTGGAGCCTCCTGGAGCACCCAGGCGCAGTCTGGAGCATCCTGGAGCACCCAGGCGCAGTCTGGAGCATCCTGGAGCACCCAGGCGCAGTCTGGAGCATCCTGGAGCACCCAGGCGCAGTCTGGAGCACCCAGGCGCAGTCTGGAGCATCCTGGAGCACCTAGGCGCAGTCTGGAGCCTCCTGGAGCACCTAGGCGCAGTCTGGAGCCTCCTGGAGCACCCAGGCGCAGTCTGGAGCCTCCTGGAGCACCTAGGCGCAGTCTGGAGCCTCCTGGAGCACCCAGGCGCAGTCTGGAGCACCCAGGGCCACCAGTCACATGCTGGAGCACCCTTACGGTCAAAATTACAATTTGAAACTCACAAAACAGAACACAAATTATTCGGACATAAATAAATATATCATAACTTAGGAGTGGTTATCGTAAGCTTCAACAAGCTCTTGCTAAAAACATGTCAAATGTTTGGAACTTAATGAAAATACAAATAGCAAATCAGAAAGGTCACAGAATAATCCGGCAGACATGAAGCTCGGTGTATGAGTGTGCGTGTGCGTGTGCGTGCGTGTGTGTGTGTGTGTGTGTGTGTGTGTGTGTGTGTGTGTGTGTGTGTGTGTGTGTGTGTGTGTGTGAGGGCCGGAGAGCTGGACAAAGGACAGTACAGTCTAAGATAGACTTCTGTGATGCCGTGGTGGCGGTCCCGCCCCTTGGACGGTTGGTTTAGTTGTAAGGCCATAAGTCGTCTGTGATTGGTTATTACTTATAAAAGTGTGGTGTGGCGTGTCAGTGTGACCTAGAAGTGCCCGGGTCAAGGACCCCGCGTGTACATACCTGACCTCTCTTGAGGTCACCACCCTCCTCCTCTAGACGTGTCCACCTACTGACTGGCTAAGAGTCAAGACACCTGCGTCTACCCTTCAAGTCTGACGTCAGTCTTCAAGTCCGACACCGCTAACTGAAGCACCTGGAAACCGCCAAAAAAAAAAGGTCCAGAAAAGTCGTTGAAACTATTCAGACGATGAGTCACAATAACGGGGCTGAAGAAGTGATGACCAGGCCACTCAGAAGACAGAGAAGGGAAGACGTTTCGGTCTGAAACGTCACACGACTTAACAAAAGGTCCAGAACGGACCGAAACCTCGACGCTTCTCCATCTTCTGAGTTCTAGTTTGGTCATCATTAACTGAAACTATATTACCTTAAAAACAAAATGCACTATAGATATATCTAATATATCCTTAAGTTATACAGAACAGCTTTCATATATCAAGACAAGGCCTACCGAGCAGACATCGAGCATAAGCGCGTACATATTGTACGCTGTATCAGTAGCTGTTGAGCACAGTAATGTAATGCTTTAATTCGGGTATATTTCAGTGGAACTGGAAACACAAATTAGACACGAAAGACTCTTTAGAAGACGTAGCTAGCCAGGACCCGGATTCACGAAGCAGTTACGCAAGTACTTATGAACCTGTACATCTTTTCTCAATCTTTGGCGGCTTTGTTTACAATTATTAAACAGTTAATGAGCTCCGAAGCACCAGGAGGCTGTTTATAACAATAACAACAGTTGATTGTGAAGTTTTCATGCTTGTAAACTGTTTAATAAATGTAACCAAAGCCGTCAAAGATTGAGGAAAGATGAACACGTTCGTAAGTACTTGCGTAACAGCTTCGTGAATCTGTCCGCAGATGTGTCGAGACCTGCTGATGCCCACCCTTACAAGGCACTTCAAATGACACCCATTTCCCCTACATCTTAATGTAATCATTCCATCGAAATGTTATAATTATTACCCAGCTAAGCTGAGAGCATCACCTTCCATTGATCTTTCCTCCCCTCTCATGACTATCCCTACTCACCATTCACATGATATATAACAGTTATTTGCCCAAGATTTAATATGTATTATAAGGAAGGCGGAATATCCCGCCGCGCGTGCCCGGAGGGTCCCGTCAGCCCGTCGCGTCACCCCCGCTTCCAGTGTTGCCAACACAAAGGGCTGCTTTTTCCCGCCTGTTATTGCTGTCTCCACCACCGGGGGGAGGGGGGGGGGTTATTGCTGTAATTATTAGCATGTTATATATCGCAGAGACAATGTTTGTACAAATAGGAATGTTTTTTTATTTCATCTGTAAATGTGTTTGTTTCTATTGTTTGTATATATCGTGGAGCCTTTTGGCAAATAATATCCATGAGCTCCGCCATTTTACGACTCACTAGGCGAGTCTGGCTTCCGCGACGGCCATGATGGTTTCATCATTTATAAATAAAACATAAAGTAGCTTTAATGACTATCCTGCTGGAGACTCGCCTGTGAGCCCGTAGCTGGGGACGTTCACGTTCACAGTGTTCCCACACGCCTGGTGCTAGCTATGTGCTCACCACCGTTTTCTATATTCCCATTCTTGGCCAGTTCACGCAGATTACCATAGTTTACCCTCCTCGTTGCCCAATAATACTTTCAATAGCCAGATATAAAGTCATATGTATTCAAAATCATCTGATACGTAACAACGATTGATGTAAAAACTACGAAATCTGACTTGACACGCCCAAAAATATTGATAATTTAACATTATTTGTACATAAATATATATATATATATATATATATATATATATATATATATATATATATATATATATATATATATATATATATATATATATATTTTGGCCTACTACGCACTACATGGCCTACTATGCAAGGCCAGATTTACCTAATAAGCTGCGTTTTTCTGTAGTTAAATATTTCCTAAATATTTTTATATGGAATGATAAAGCTATCCTTAATATTCTATGATTTTTTTTTCAATACGAGTCAAAACTAACGTACAAATATGACCAAACCTAACCTAACCTATCTTGAACTAACCTAACATAACTAAGTCAGTAATTCATGTTCCTAATATAATAATATTAATTCATATAAACCAATTGGAAAAACTTTGTTGAAAATCACGAAAATCACGGCCTATTAGGCAACTTGAACCTTGCATACTAGGCCGAGTAGTGCATTATGGCTATTAAGTACATTATATATATATATATATATATATATATATATATATATATATATATATATATATATATATATATATATGTCGTACCTAATAGCCAGAACGCACTTCTCAGCCTACTATTCAAGGCCCGATTTGCCTAATAAGCCAAGTTTTCCTGAATTAATATATTTACTATAATTTTTTTCTTATGAAATGATAAAGCAACCCTTTTCTCTATGTATGAGGTCAATTTTTTTTTATTGGAGTTAAAATTAACGTAGATATATGACCGAACCTAACCAACCCTACCTAACCTAATCTAACCTATATTTATAGGTAAGGTTAGGTAGCCAAAAAAAGCTAGGTTAGGTTAGGTAGGTTAGGTAGACGAAAAAACATTAATTCATGAAAACTTGGCTAATTAGGCAAATCGGGCCTTGAATAGTAGGCTGAGAAGTGCGTTCTGGCTATTAGGTAGGACATATATATATATATATATATATATATATATATATATATATATATATATATATATATATATATATATACACACACCACACACACCTTTCAAATTCTCTTTACTCTGTCATATGAGAGTTATTCATATGTATCCAAGACTGTTGATGTATACTTTAATATCCGGTTTAGTGATTGTTCCTGAGCGCCTCCTTGACCAGGTGAGCCCCTTGAGCGCCTCCTTGACCAGGTGAGCCCCTTGAGCGCCTCCTTGACCAGGTGAGCCCCTTGAGCGCCTCCTTGACCAGGTGAGCCCCTTGAGCGCCTCCTTGACCAAGTGAGCCCCTTGAGCGCCTCCTTGACCAGGTGAGCCCCTTGAGCGCCTCCTTGACCAAGTGAGCCCCTTGAGCGCCTCCTTGACCAGGTGAGCCCCTTGAGCGCCTCCTTGACCAGGTGAGCCCCTTGAGCGCCTCCTTGACCAGGTGAGCCCCTTGAGCGCCTCCTTGACCAGGTGAGCCCCTTGAGCGCCTCCTTGACCAGGTGAGCCCCTTGAGCGCCTCCTTGACCAGGTGAGCACCTTGAGCGCCTCCTTGACCAAGTGAGCACCTTGAGCGCCTCCTTGACCAAGTGAGCCCCTTGAGCGCCTCCTTGACCAAGTGAGCCCCTTGAGCACCTCCTTGACCAGGTGAGCACCTTGAGCGCCTCCTTGACCAGGTGAGCCCCTTGAGCGCTTCCTTGACCAGGTGAGCCCCTTGAGCGCTTCCTTGACCAGGTGAGCCCCTTGAGTGCCTCCTTGACCAAGTGAGCCCCTTGAGCGCCTCCTTGACCAGTTGAGCACCTTGAGCGCCTCCTTGACCAAGTGAGCCCATTGAGCGCCTCCTTGACCAAGTGAGCCCCTTGAGCGCCTCCTCGACCAAGTGAGCACCTTGAGCGCCTCCTTGACCAGTTGAGCACCTTGAGCGCCTCCTTGACCAAGTGAGCCCCCTTGAGCGCCTCCTTGACCAGTTGAGCCCCTTGAACGCCTCCTTAACCAAGTGAGCCCCTTAAGCGTCTCCTTGACCAAGTGAGCACCTTGAGCGCCTCCTTGACCAAGTGAGCACCTTGAGCGCCTCCTTGACCAAGTGAGCCCCCCTTGAGCGCCTCCTTGACCAAGTGAGCCCCTTGAGCGCCTCCTTGACCAAGTGAGCCCCCCTTGAGCGCCTCCTTGACCAAGTGAGCCCCCTTGAGCGGCTCCTTGACCAGTTGAGCCCCTTGAGCGCCACCTTGACCAGGTGAGCACCTTGAGCGCCTCCTTAACCTTCCTTGTCTGCAATATCATTTAGGGAAAATGCGGGTAACTCCATTAACGGGAGTGTAAAATATAATTAGCTTATACTTAATTACCAGTTAATTGTGACATTTGATATAAATATATATTAAAACAATATTGGTTTTTAAGTTAGATATTGAAAATACAAAATGTATGTTTCTATGCGATAGTAGGTCTACTTGTCCCCCTTATAAACAGGTGTTTATATATATGATGTCCCTTATAAACAGGTGTTTATATATATATATATGATGTGGGAAGACTGGGAGTGTGTGTCATTTTCACAATAATATATCCACCAGTATCCAATAGTTTGGAAAATATTATCCGATGAGATTTTGATTATATATTAATGTAGTATTAGCAGCTTTTTTATAATGGGCAGTTGTTGGTCTATCATATATAACACAAGTTTGAGGAACAATTAATGTATAGGGGGGATTACAAGCTGTTTCATAATGATAAAAATATATATATATATATATATATATATATATATATATTTATATATATAAATTAGGCATTAATATTGCCAGTTATCCCATATCGAGATGACTTACTCATTAAGAACGTCGCTGAACCTCAAGATGTGAACAAAGTACTATTGGTGGCTGGTACGAGATGCCCGCACTAGAAATTTTCCTTTTTAAGACAACTCATAGCCCAGTCGATAGAGCTCCGGCCTTACACGCGTGGGGTGCACGGTTCGAAACCTATACAGCCCAGGTGAATGGAATACCCGTACCAGCATCACCATCTACCACATCTCTCTCATCATTGCACCCTGATACCTATTGGGTATGTGCCCAACATGGTCGTATTAGGAAGGAGAGGGAGACACGGGCATTCACATCATAAAACAAGCCTAGTGTGACACATTTCCTAGTGTGACACATCTGAGTTTGGAAATTCCTAAGAGTTATAAGATTTGAGAGCTCAAGAGCTAGCAGGTCGAGAAGACGGGCAAGTGCTGCCCTCTATTGTTCACACATGCTACACGAGTCATACACGTCGCGACGTCTCCTGAACGGGAAGATGAGAGCGCCTGCAAATTATCCATTGCAGGAAGGTCCACTACGAGAGAATTTATGCGACTCATATAACCAGGAACTAAAAGTTTACACGACTAATACAGCCACAATTATAAGTATACACGACTAATACAGCCACAATTATAAGTTTACACGACTAATACAACCACAATTATAAGTTTACACGACTAATACAGCCACAATTATAAGTTTACACGACTAATACAGCCACAATTATAAGTTTACACGACTAATACAACCACAATTATAAGTTTACACGACTAATACAGTCACAATTATAAGTTTACACGACTAATACAACCACAATTATAAGTTTACACGACTAATACAGCCACAATTATAAGTTTACACGACTAATACAACCACAATTATAAGTTTACACGACTAATACAACCACAATTATAAGTTTACACGACTAATACAACCACAATTATAAGTTTACACGACTAATACAACCACAATTATAAGTTTACACGACTAATACAACCACAATTATAAGTTTACACGACTAATACAACCACAATTATAAGTTTACACGACTAATACAACCACAATTATAAGTTTACACGACTAATACAGTCACAATTATAAGTTTACACGACTAATACAACCACAATTATAAGTTTACACGACTAATACAGCCACAATTATAAGTTTACACGACTAATACAACCACAATAAGTTTACACGACTAATACAACCACAATTATAAGTTTACACGACTAATACAACCACAATTATAAGTTTACACGACTAATACAACCACAATTATAAGTTTACACGACTAATACAACCACAATTATAAGTTTACACGACTAATACAACCACAATTGTAATCCTAACTACAATTAATACTAACACAAAAGCCTTATTTCCTAAAACTTTCGAATCATCTGAAGATTCATAAACGTCAAAGTCATATCTGGTGAATCCATCATACCAATTTACAATTTAAATACTCTAATTTAATCATTTCAGGTGCACAATTCTTGTATATTTAATTCCCCTAAGTTATAGAGGCCAACGAAGCCTAACTTTACGAATCCAAATTCGCATTCAAGTTGGTATATCCAAGTTCGGATCCTTAACGGTCACGAACCTGAGTCTGTATTTATAATCTGTGATGGATAAACTTACCCAGGGGCCCGATTCACGAAGCAGTTACGCAAGCACTTACGAACCAGTCCATCTTTTCTCAATCTTTGGCGGCTTTGTTTACAATTATAAAACAGGTAATGAGCTCCGAAACACCAGGAGGCTGTTTATAACAATAACAACAGTAGATTGGCAAGTATTCATGCTTGTAAACAGTTTACGATATGAAACCAAAGCCGTCACAAATATTGAGAAAAGCTGTACAGGTTCGTAAGTACTTGCGTAACTGCTTCGTGCATTTGGCCCCTGGTTATTAACGTGGATATTTAAGTCAGCTTTACCATTGACCACGTCCGAGAAATGCTCTGCTTGACACACTCTGAAAAGAGGAATAGTTTCCCCCCAAACAATAAAACCGTTTTTTTTTTGTAGCTTCCAAAACAACAGGTTCTAAGTTGAGCCTTTGTTGAGAGTGCTAGAGCCTCTAGAGGGGCTGGCGTTAATATACTGAGCAGTGAGAGGTGTTACGGCTAATATACTGAGCAGTGAGAGGAGTTACGGCTAATATACTGAGCGGTGAGAGGTGTTACGGCTAAGGAGTTACGGCTAATATACTGAGCAGTGAGAGGTGTTACGGCTAATATACTGAGCAGTGAGAGGAGTTACGGCTAACGGCTAATATACTGAGCTGAGCTGAGCAGTGAGTGAGAGGTGTTACGGCTAATATACTGAGCAGAGGTGTTACGGCTAATATACTGAGCAGTGAGAGGTACGGCTAATATACTGAGCAGTGAGAGGAGTTACGGCTAATATACTGAGCGGTGAGAGGTGTTACGGCTAATATACTGAGCAGTGAGAGGAGTTACGGCTAATATACTGAGCAGTGAGAGGAGTTACGGCTAATATACTGAGCGGTGAGAGGTGTTACGGCTAATATACTGAGCGGTGAGAGGTGTTACGGCTAATATACTGAGCGGTGAGAGGTGTTACGGCTAATATACTGAGCGGTGAGAGGTGTTACGGCTAATATACTGAGCAGTGAGAGGTGTTACGGCTAATATACTGAGCAGTGAGAGGTACGGCTAATATACTGAGCAGTGAGAGGAGTTACGGCTAATATACTGAGCGGTGAGAGGTGTTACGGCTAATATACTGAGCGGTGAGAGGTGTTACGGCTAATATACTGAGCGGTGAGAGGAGTTACGGCTAATATACTGAGCGGTGAGAGGTGTTACGGCTAATATACTGAGCGGTGAGAGGTGTTACGGCTAATATACTGAGCGGTGAGAGGTGTTACGGCTAATATACTGAGCGGTGAGAGGTGTTACGGCTAATATACTGAGCGGTGAGAGGTGTTACGGCTAATATACTGAGCGGTGAGAGGAGTTACGGCTAATATACTGAGCGGTGAGAGGTACGGCTAATATACTGAGCGGTGAGAGGTGTTACGGCTAATATACTGAGCGGTGAGAGGTGTTACGGCTAATATAATATACTGAGCGGTGAGAGGTGTTACGGCTAATATACTGAGCGGTGAGAGGTGTTACGGCTAATATACTGAGCGGTAAGATCATCCCTGCCTAAAGCCTGGTGAAGGAGAGAGGATGGTTGCAGATTTAATCAGCACCTCAAACTCAGTATTTCAAAACTAGCAACAATTAATGGATCACGAGGCTCGGGAACGCGTCGAGGACGACAGTCGTTGATGTATGACTTGAGACGCCTACAGGCCCCCGACAGGCAGACGACAACCATGTATATATTAAGACAACACAAAACCCATTACCCTGTACGTGCGTGCGTGTGTGTGTGTGTGTGTGTGTGTGTGTGTGTGTGTGTGTGTGTGTGTGTGTGTGTGTGTGTGTGTGTGTGCGTGCGTGCGTGCGCGTGCGTGTATGTTAAGTTCACGAGTGCGGCCGTGTTATCGTTATCCCAAGTTGTCATGCATTATACATAATAACTTAAGTTATCACAAACCATATGTGGACATTAATGGGGGACTTACATATAAAGGTGTTGTGCTCCTTAGCCCCAATTGGACAAGGTAACGACCCAACTACCACCTTCAAACTGAGCTCATTTCCCAACTGTTGACACCAACTGTACATAATTACTGGATTACCCCACCAATCCCAAGCTCTTAACACACACCTAGTTACACAACCCCTGAAATACCCCCCCCCCCCCACCACCACCAAATTGCCTACTAAGATGTTGATACTAACTATCCCATTATCCCCAAATTGCCCGCCCGCCTGTCTGTCATGTTAACAGGTGACATAATGCCTGGGTGGCCCACCTGTCTCCCAAGACGGTGAGGTATTAGTACACACCTGTCCCGGCTGTCTCCCAAGACGGTGAGGTATTAGTACACACCTGTCCCGGCTGTCTCCCAAGACGGTGAGGACACCTGTCCCGGCTGTCCTCAAGCACCAGGAGGCAATAGCTCACTCACTAGAGGACGGGGCCGCGGGGACCTTCATCCCCAGAAATCAACGCACGGTAACCGCGCGGTAACTGCAAGGTATTCGCACGGTAACTGCGCGGTAACTGCAAGGTATCCGCACGGTAACTGCAAGGTATTCGCACGGTAACTGCGCGGTAACTGCAAGGTAACCGCACAGTAACCGCACGGTAACCGCACGGTATCCGCACGGTAACCGCACAGTGACCGCACGGTAACCGCACGGTATCAGCACGGTAACCGCACAGTAACCGCACAGTAACCACACGGTAACCACACGGTAACCGCACGGTAACCGCACAGTAACTGCATGGTAACTGCACGGTAACCGCACGGTAACCGCACAGTAACCGCACGGTAACTGCAAGGTATCCGCAGGGTAACTGCACGGTAACTGCAAGGTATCCGCAGGGTAACTGCACGGTAACTGCAAGGTATCCGCAGGGTAACTGCACGGTAACTGCAAGGTATCCGCAGGGTAACCGCACGGTAACTGCAAGGTATCAGCACGGTAACCGCACGGTAACTGCAAGGTATCAGCACAGTAACCGCACGGTAACTGCATGGTATCCGCACGGTAACTGTAAGGTAACCGCACGTAAATGCAAGGTATCCGCACGGTAACTGTAAGGTAACCGCACGTAACTGCAAGGTAACCGTACGGTATCCGCCCGGTAACTGCAAGGTATCCGCATGGTTACCACATAGTAACCGCAAGGTACCCGCATGGTGAGCGCAAGTTAACGGCAAGGTACCCACCTCATGGTTGTGAGCCCCCTCACCCAAGACGGTCCCGACAACACTGCCCCTTCCCCGGTGTCGCCGGTGTCGCCGGTGTCCCCGGTGTCCCCGGTGTCGCCGGTGTCGCCGGTGTCCCCGGTGTCGCCGGTGTCCCCGGTGTCGCCGGTGTCGCCGGTGTCGCCGGTGTCGCCGGTGTCGCCGGTGTCCCCGGTGTCGCCGGTGTCCCCGGTGTCGCCGGTGTCGCCGGTGTCCCCGGTGTCGCCGGTGTCCCCGGTGTCGCCGGTGTCCCCGGTGTCGCCGGTGTCCCCGGTGTCCCCGGTGTCCCCGGTGTCCCCGGTGTCGCCGGTGTCGCCGGTGTCCCCGGTGTCCCCGGTGTCGCCGGTGTCGCCGGTGTCCCCGGTGTCGCCGGTGTCCCCGGTGTCGCCGGTGTCGCCGGTGTCCCCGGTGTCGCCGGTGTCGCCGGTGTCGCCGGTGTCGCCGGTGTCGCCAGTGTCGCCGGTGTCCCCGGTGTCGCCGGTGTCCCCGGTGTCGCCGGTGTCGCCGGTGTCGCCGGTGTCCCCGGTGTCGCCGGTGTCCCCGGTGTCGCCGGTGTCCCCGGTGTCGCCGGTGTCCCCGGTGTCCCCGGTGTCCCCGGTGTCGCCGGTGTCCCCGGTGTCGCCGGTGTCCCCGGTGTCGCCGGTGTCGCCGGTGTCCCCGGTGTCCCCGGTGTCGCCGGTGTCCCCGGTGTCGCCGGTGTCCCCGGTGTCGCCGGTGTCCCCGGTGTCGCTGGTGTCGCCAGTGTCGCCGGTGTCGCCGGTGTCGCCGGTGTCGCCGGTGTCGCCAGTGTCGCCGGTGTCGCCAGTGTCGCCAGTACGCGAGACGCACAACTCACCACCAATATATTTCAAGCTTTAGGGTTAGCTTTCTGCATATTTTTTAAGCTGTTGCTGAAAAATTAAATTGGTCGAATATCTACCTGGAAATGTAAAGGATTCCACAGCAGCTGACATGCCTGGAGGAAGCTAGAGGCGCCAGAGACCTACTGCGTGCTAGAGGCGCCAGAGACCTACCGGGTGCTAGAGGCGCCAGAGACCTACCGGGTGCTAGAGGCGCCAGAGACCTACCGGGTGCTAGAGGCGCCACAGGGACCTACCGGGTGCTAGAGGCGCCAGAGACCTACCGGGTGCTAGAGGCGCCAGAGACCTACCGGGTGCTAGAGGCGCCAGAGACCTACCGGGTGCTAGAGGCGCCAGAGACCTACCGGGTGCTAGAGGCGCCAGAGACCTACCGGGTGCTAGAGGCGCCACAGGGACCTACCGGGTGCTAGAGGCGCCAGAGACCTACCGGGTGCTAGAGGCGCCAGAGGCCTACCGGGTGCTAGAGGCGCCAGAGACCTACCGGGTGCTAGAGGCGCCAGAGACCTACCGGGTGCTAGAGGCGCCAGAGACCTACCGGGTGCTAGAGGCGCCACAGGGACCTACCGGGTGCTAGAGGCGCCAGAGACCTACCGGGTGCTAGGGCGCCAAAGGGACCTGCTAGAGGCGCCAGAGACCTACCGGGTGCTAGAGGCGCCAGAGACCTACCGGGTGCTAGAGGCGCCAGAGACCTACCGGGTGCTAGAGGCGCCAGAGACCTACCGGGTGCTAGAGGCGCCAGAGACCTACCGGGTGCTAGAGGCGCCACAGGGACCAACCGAGTGCTAGAGGCGCCAAAGGGACCTACCGGGTGCTAGAAGCGCCAAAGGGACCTGCCGGGTGCTAGAGGCGCCAGAAAGGGACCTACCGGGTGCTAGAGGCGCCAAAGGGACCTACCGGGTGCTAGAGGCGCCAGAGACCTACTTGATGCTAGAGGCGCCAGAGACCTACCGGGTGCTAGAGGCGCCAGAAAGGGACCTACCGGGTGCTAGAGGCGCCAGAGACCTACCGGGTGCTAGAGGCGCCAAAGGGACCTACCGGGTGCTAGAGGCGCCAGAGACCTACCGGGTGCTAGAGGCGCCAGAGACCTACCGGGTGCTAGAGGCGCCACAGGGACCTACCGGGTGCTAGAGGCGCCAAAGGGACCTACCGGGTGCTAGAGGCGCCAAAGGGACCTACCGGGTGCTAGAGGCGCCAGAAAGGGACCTACCGGGTGCTAGAGGCGCCAAAGGGACCTACCGGGTGCTAGAGGCGCCAGAGACCTACTTGATGCTAGAGGCGCCAGAGACCTACCGGGTGCTAGAGGCGCCAGAAAGGGACCTACCGGGTGCTAGAGGCGCCAGAGACCTACCGGGTGCTAGAGGCGCCAAAGGGACCTACCGGGTGCTAGAGGCGCCAGAGACCTACCGGGTGCTAGAGGCGCCAGAGACCTACTGGGTGCTAGAGGCGCCAGAGACCTACCGGGTGCTAGAGGCGCCAAAGGGACCTACCGGGTGCTAGAGGCGCCAAAGGGACCTACCGGATGCTAGAGGCGCCAGAAAAGGACCTACCGGGTGCTAGAGGCGCCAAAGGGACCTACCGGGTGCTAGAGGCGCCAGAGACCTACTTGATGCTAGAGGCGCCAAAGGGACCTACCGGGTGCTAGAGGCGCCAAAGGGACCTACCGGGTGCTAGAGGCGCCAGAAAATGACCTACCGGGTGCTAGTGGCGCCAAAGGGACCTACCGGGTGCTAGAGACGCCAAAGGGACCTACCGGGTGCTAGAGGCGCCAAAGGGACCTACCGGATGCTAGTGGCGCCAGAGACCTACCGGGTGCTAGAGGCGCCAAAGGGACCTACCGGGTGCTAGAGGCGCCAGAGACCTACCGGGTGCTAGAGGCGCCAAAGGGACCTACCGGGTGCTAGAGGCGCCAAAGGGACCTACCGGGTGCTAGAGGCGCCAGAGACCTACCGGGTGCTAGTGGCGCCAGAGACCTACCGGGTGCTAGAGGCGCCAAAGGGACCTACCGGGTGCTAGAGGCGCCAGAAAAGGACCTACCGGGTGCTAGAGGCGCCAGAGACCTACCGGGTGCTAGAGGCGCCAGAAAAGAACCTACCGGGTGCTAGAGGCGCCAAAGGGACCTACCGGGTGCTAGTGGCGCCAGAGACCTACCGGGTGCTAGAGGCGCCAAAGGGACCTACCGGGTGCTAGAGGCGCCAGAGACCTACCGGGTGCTAGAGGCGCCAGAGACCTACCGGGTGCTAGAGGCGCCAGAAAAGAACCTACCGGGTGCTAGAGACGCCAAAGGGACCTACCGGGTGCTAGAGGCGCCAAAAGGACCTACCGGGTGCTAGTGGCGCCAGAGACCTACCGGGTGCTAGAGGCGCCAGAGACCTACTGGGTGCTAGAGGCGCCAAAGGGACCTACCGGGTGCTAGAGGCGCCAGAAAAGAACCTACCAGGTGCTAGAGGCGCCAAAGGGACCTACCGGGTGCTAGAGGCGCCAGAAAAGAACCTACTGGGTGCTAGAGGCGCCAGAAAAGGACCTACCGGGTGGTAGAGGCGCCAAAGGGACCTACCGGGTGCTAGAGGCGCCAAAGGGATCTACCGGGTGCTAGAGGCGCCAGAGACCTACCGGGTGCTAGTGGCGCCAGAGACCTACCGGGTGCTAGAGGCGCCAAAGGGACCTACCGGGTGCTAGAGGCGCCAGATACCTACCGGGTGCTAGAGGCGCCAAAGGGACCTACCGGGTGCTAGAGGCGCCAGAAAAGGACCTACCGGGTGCTAGAGGCGCCAAAGGGACCTACCGGGTGCTAGAGGCGCCAAAGGGACCTACCGGGTGCTAGAGGCGCCAAAGGGACCTACCGGGTGCTAGAGGCGCCAGAGACCTACCGGGTGCTAGTGGCGCCAGAGACCTACCGGGTGCTAGAGGCGCCAGAGACCTACCGGGTGCTAGAGGCTCCAGAAAAGGACCTACCGGGTGCTAGAGGCGCCAAAGGGACCTACCGGGTGCTAGTGGCGCCAGAGACCTACCGGGTGCTAGAGGCGCCAGAGACCTACCGGGTGCTAGAGGCGCCAAAGGGACCTACCGGGTGCTAGAGGCGCCAGAAAAGGACCTACCGGGTGCTAGTGGCGCCAAAGGGACCTACCGGGTGCTAGAGACGCCAAAGGGACCTACCGGGTGCTAGAGGCGCCAAAGGGACCTACCGGGTGCTAGAGGCGCCAGAAAAGGACCTACCGGGTGCTAGAGGCGCCAAAGGGACCTACCGGGTGCTAGAGGCGCCAAAGGGACCTACCGGGTGCTAGAGGCGCCAAAGGGACCTACCGGGTTCTAGAGGCGCCAGAGACCTACCGGGTGCTAGAGGCGCCAGAGACCTACCGGGTGCTAGAGGCGCCAGAGACCTACCGGGTGCTAGAGGCGCCAGAGACCTACTGGGTGCTAGAGGCGCCAGAGACCTACTGGGTGCTAGAGGCGCCAGAGACCTACCGGGTGCTAGAGGCGCCAGAGACCTACCGGGTGCTAGAGGCGCCAGAGACCTACTGGGTGCTAGAGGCGCCAAAGGGACATACATGGTGCTAGAGGCGCCAAAGGGACCTACCGGGTGCTAGAGGCGCCAAAGGGACCTACCGGGTTCTAGAGGCGCCAGAGACCTACCGGGTGCTAGAGGCGCCAGAGACCTACTGGGTGCTAGTGGCGCCAGAGACCTACTGGGTGCTAGAGGCGCCAAAGGGACCTACCGGGTGCTAGAGGCGCCAGAGACCTACCGGGTGCTAGAGGCGCCAAAGGGACCTACCGGGTGCTTGAGGCGCCAAAGGGACCTACCGGGTTCTAGAGGCGCCAGAGACCTACCGGGTGCTAGAGGCGCCAAAGGGACCTACCGGGTGCTAGAGGCGCCAAAGGGACCTACCGGGTTCTAGAGGCGCCAGAGACCTACCGGGTGCTAGAGGCGCCAAAGACCTACCGGGTGCTAGAGGCGCCAGAGACCTACCGGGTGCTAGAGGCGCCAGAGACCTACTGGGTGCTAGAGGCGCCAGAGACCTACCGGGTGCTAGAGGCGCCAGAGACCTACCGGGTGCTAGAGGCGCCAGAGACCTACCGGGTGCTAGAGGCTCCAGAAAAGGACCTACCGGGTGCTAGAGGCGCCAAAGGGACCTACCGGGTGCTAGAGGCGCCAAAGGGACCTACCGGGTGCTAGAGGCGCCAGAAAATGACCTACCGGGTGCTAGTGGCGCCAAAGGGACCTACCGGGTGCTAGAGACGCCAAAGGGACCTACCGGGTGCTAGAGACGCCAAAGGGACCTACCGGGTGCTAGAGGCGCCAAAGGGACCTACCGGGTGCTAGAGGCGCCAAAGGGACCTACCGGGTGCTAGAGGCGCCAAAGGGACCTACCGGGTGCTAGAGGCGCCAAAGGGACCTACCGGGTTCTAGAGGCGCCAGAGACCTACCGGGTGCTAGAGGCGCCAGAGACCTACCGGGTGCTAGAGGCGCCAGAGACCTACCGGGTGCTAGAGGCGCCAGAGACCTACTGGGTGCTAGAGGCGCCAGAGACCTACTGGGTGCTAGAGGCGCCAGAGACCTACCGGGTGCTAGAGGCGCCAAAGGGACCTACCGGGCATTAGAGACGCCAGAAAAGGACCTACCGGGCACTAGAGGCGCCAGAAAGGAACCTACCGGGTACTAGAGGCGCCAGAAAGGAACCTACCGGGTACTAGAGGCGCCAGAAAGGGTCCTACCGGGTACTAGAGGCACCAGAAAAGGACCTACCGGGTACTAGAGGCGCCAGAAAGGGACCTACCGGGTACTAGAGGCGCCAGAAAGGAACCTACCGGGTACTAGAGGCGCCAGAAAGGGACCTACCGGGTACTAGAGGCACCAGAAAGGGACCTACCGGGTACTAGAGGCGCCAGAAAGGGACCTACCGGGCACTAGAGGCACCAGAAAGGGACCTACCGGGTACTAGAGGCGCCAGAAAGGGACCTACCGGGCACTTGAGGCGCCAGAAAGGGACCTACCGGGTACTAGAGGCGCCAGAAAGGGACCTACCGGGTACTAGAGGCGCCAGAAAGGGACCTACCGGGTACTAGAGGCGCCAGAAAGGGACCTACCGGGTACTAGAGGCGCCAGAAAGGAACCTACTGGGTGCTAGAGGCGCCAGAAAGGGACCTACCGGGTGCTAGAGGCGCCAGAAAAGGACCTACCGGGCACTAGAGGCGCCAGAAAGGGACCTACCGGGCGCTAGAGGCGCCAGAAAAGGACCTACCGGGTACTACAGGCGCCAGAAAAGGACCTATCGGCTGCCAGAGGCGCCAGAAGGAATGTGTATTGTTCAGGTCGCCGCCAACAACATGTCAACAACACATTGAGGAAATACAAATAATTTATTTACGAATAATTACAACATGAAAGATATTGAGCACAAAACAAAGTATCTTCAACGCTCGTCTGCAGATAAAATCCAATATTAAACTGCAATACTAATAAGTGACAATAATGACCGTCATATTAAACAAAACAGTTCATTTCAAAACAACTAAACACCATGGAAGGCATGTTTAAGAAAAGTCAAACACAACCCGTTTTTTACAAGTAATATCATGTACCTCAAGTGATACTTAAGACACACACACACCCGCGAACCCTTCATCTTGACCCAGGGTCCGTGTCTTAATACACCATTACGCAGTATTTGACTCCCAAACAGCATCTTAACCTTAACGCAATATGTGTGTGTGTGTGTGTGTGTGTGTGTGTGTGTGTGTGTGTGTGTGTGTGTGTGTGTGTGTGTGTGTGTGTAAGTCACGAAAATTAACACGTGAAGAAAAATGTCACAGTGTCAGACCACAGAGGAAGAATTGAAACAGGAATTTCTTTAAGGGCTTTCGTATTTAATGATAATACATCTTCAGAGTGGTCAATAATAATACCCAATTCTGAAGATGTATTATTAAAGACGAAAGTACTAAAGGAAATTCCTGTTTCAATTCTTCCTTCGTGGTCTGACAGCAGTCATATATATATATATATATATATATATATATATATATATATATATATATATATATATATATATATATATATATATATATATATATATATATAAATTCGCACTCTTACAGATCATAAACTTAGAGAAAAATAAGTGAGGTAAGAGGCAGCAGCATCACCTAAGACCTTAAGTGACACTTAACCTGACCACTCTCACCGTCACTTGTCTTCACCATTCAACACTTTGCCCGAGACGAAGATCAACTTCGTGAGAACCTTTGGAGCAGTGGCGAGGAATCGAACTGTCGTCCAGAGTCACCCTGGGCACTGCTCAGTGCCTCCAATCTCCTCCTAAGTCCTGGCGGACTTCAGGTTGACTTGTTTCGTGCTCATTGTGGCCTAGTGGGTAATGCATGTGTCTGGGGGGAAGGGCGGTGAGCCACGACGCCAGATCGATTCCACGCACAGTTCTAGAGGCTTGCTCGGTAATATATCACGTTACTGTGATCAGCAAGTCTCTCTCCCTCTCTCTCTCTCCCTCCCTCTCTTTCTCCCTCTCTCTCTCTCTCTCTCTCTCTCTCTCTCTCTCTCTCTCTCTCTCTCTCTCTCTCTCTCTCGTCTACAGCTAAGAGAACTTAAACTCCACGATATAACCCTTAAATTAATATCACTGAGCGTCTTCTGATCACATTATCAACACTGTCAAGACGCATCGAGTAATAATCGGCAAGTTTTATCCGATCATTTGTTACCACTTAAGCGGCTGTCATGAGAACCGTTTAATATCACTTAAGGGAGAGTGAGAGGGCCCCAAGGAGCCGCTCACGCTGGGCCGCAGCGATCCGTCCCAGTCAAGGCACCAGTGGTGGGGTCATCACACTGATTTAAGGCAAGATAAAACACTAGATAAAAAATATAGAAATTAAGAAGTTAGTTTAAATATATATAGAAGCAGGAACGCACACATCTGAAGATAATGGAGCATTTTATAATCTAGGACAAATAGAAGTGTAGTCTACGGTTTAGGTTTGCCATATTTCACTACTATAGTTACTCTAGGAGGCTAGCACGCAATTGGAATTGTTAACAATGATCAGTTATAAGTCATTATCAGTACTTTGAGCAGAGCTTATATTTATACTGGCAAGACATACATACAGTGTGTGTGTGTGTGTGTGTGTGTGTGTGTGTGTGTGTGTGTGTGTGTGTGTGTGTGTGTGTGTGTGTGTATGAAGCCCGTAGCAGCTGTCTAACTCCTAGGTATCTATTTACTACTAGCTGAACAGGTGCATCAGGGTGAAAGAAACTCTACCCATTTGTTACCGCCCCCACCGGGAATCGAACCCGGGCCATTAGGATTACGACCCCTAGGCGTTATCCACTCCTAGGCGCACCTTGCTATTGCAACCCCTGTGTGTGTGTGTGTGTGTGTGTGTGTGTGTGTGTGTGTGTGTGTGTGTGTGTGTGTGTGTGTGTGGACAACGTTGCAGTACAAGACAATATAGACAATCTACTCAAGGCAGCAACAACCTAGAGAGCATCCCGCACCTCACAAGTCTTGGCCTTGCACCAGTGTCAAGGCCGCTGGCTCAGCCGGCATAACATCCACAGTGATATCCAGTACAGCAGGAGGCCGTCACAGCCGCCAGCCCCGCTGCCTGGCACAGCTTACGAAGTGCACAACACACAGGGGGACACACTGTGGAGACCTGACCACGGGGGCAGGGAGGGAGGGAGGGAGGGGGGGGGGATACACGTGCCGCAGCAAGCAGGCGCATTTTCCTTGTATGTTGTAAAGTATTACAAGATGTATATAGCATACTGAATATCTGAACATACACTCATCATATGCGTTACTGAGTTATATATATATATATATATATATATATATATATATATATATATATATATATATATATATATATATATATATATATATATATATCTTGATATTGGCAGCAGAGCAGCTACGTGTACTCTACACACACACATCCACCACACTCGCGTGCACCAACACACTGCACCCAACCAAAACACTCCCGTTCATACAAATAAAACTCACCAAATACGTTTATATATATATTGTGTAAATATTCTCTTGCAACATTCACTTCCAACGAGGACAATTATTCATACCAAACCCCCCACTGACTGCTGGACAACGGGACTGGTACTAATTCCTTAGTTACACTATCCACACAATGTTCTATACAAACGAAGATAATCACTGAAAAAACACACACACACCAATCAATTCAAAATTAACATTTCACTACTGGATTGTACCTGGACGGGGTTGTGGGAGTTGTTCCACTCCCCCCAAGCCTGGCCCAGGGGCGCCAGCAGGCTTGACTTGTGAGTCATTTCAATTGTCCCAAAGTGTGGTTACCGCCATTATGAACAGGTCTTTAAGAACACTCTCGTCTCGTATTGTGGGGGGTAGTTAGTGTCCAGGACCTCGCCCCCTCATTATGGTCCCTCGAGTTCCCATCCGTGTCATGTTGTTACCCATACAGCTTGTTATATGCGCTAAATATATCATGATTAAACACCTCCGTGTTTCTCTTACCTTCTCTCGCACCAATGGGCGCCAAGGTAGCGTGGACAGCTACGACTCAACACCTCAACCCAAAACAATCAACTCGTGATGGATGAGGTGGCAAAACGACTAAGAATACTTAAGAACCAATTGATTATGAACAAGACGGCAACAGCTGTATTAACCTTGCATTACAAGGAAATTTTAGCAATACACTTGCTGTAAAGCAAGTTCCGCCTAGAGGGACAACAAACATATTTACATAACATCATGCAATTTGCGGTTAATGGCCAGATGGGTACACCTTTGTGGCTATACCAACGGAAACTACGGCTTTAACCCTCATAATATTATGAGACTACACAGAAATTATCTCGACCTGCCAGGAAATAACAAAATTGCATATTACACTACTGAAGGTTAATATGTTCATAATAATAATAAATAACGGTAATGTCTTCTTACAGACATACAGACATAACAACACACGATAACAACCCACACTTGTGTATTTGTGAATATTATGTAACGAAATTACACAATGTCTTTCGCACTCTCCTGAGTGCTTTGAGACCCGTCTTAACGACTAATTACAACCATGTTTAGTCATTGAGGTGTAAGTCTCGCACTAACCACACACTCAGGTGTAAGTCTCGCACTAACCACACACTCAGGTGTAAGTCTCGCACTAACCACACACTCAGGTGTAAGTCTCGCACTAACCACACACTCAGGTGTAAGTCTCGCACTAACCACACACTCAGGTGTAAGTCTCGCACTAACCACACACTCAGGTGTAAGTCTCGCACTAACCACACACTCAGGTGTAAGTCTCGCACTAACCACACACTCAGGTGTAAGTCTCGCACTAACCACACACTCAGGTGTAAGTCTCGCACTAACCACACACTCAGGTGTAAGTCTCGCACTAACCACACACTCAGGTGTAAGTCTCGCACTAACCACACACTCAGGTGTAAGTCTCGCACTAACCACACACTCAGGTGTAAGTCTCGCACTAACCACACACTCAGGTGTAAGTCTCGCACTAACCACACACTCACACCTTCACAAGAGGTGTAAGTCTCGCACTAACCACACACTCACACCTTCACAAGAGGTGTAAGTCTCGCACTAACCACACACTCACACCTTCACAAGAGGTGTAAGTCTCGCACTAACCACACACTCACACCTTCACAAAACACTCAGGAGAGTGCGAAAGTTTTGGAGTAATTAGTTTACATAAATTTCACAATTGATAAGTGTGGGTTTTTTCTATCATAAATAATAATAATATTAATAATAATAATAGATATATAATAACAGATATAGTAATAATCAATAATAATGAATAATAATAATAATAGATACCATATAATATTATATATATATATATATATATATATATATATATATATATATATATATATATATATATATATATATATATATTGATCACATCAGAAGTAAACGTCCGTACGCGACCCAATACCGTAGATAAAGACTTCAACACCAAGGAGG